CAGAAGAATCATTGCACTTAAACACCGGCAATTAAGTGGGCTGACCTGAAGCAAACAAGGGTCAAAATGGGCCCTATTAAAATTTGTGTGGCTATATTTTTATAATTCCATTTCATCCGAGTCCTTTTCTGATCCATTGTGTTTCAAATAAATAATATCAAGGGCATCTTGTAATGCAGTGTTTCACCCTCCCGAGCCAAAAAGGGAGGCCATTTTACTTCGAGATAAGTGTGTCATACCCATAATCCACTAGAATGGTGAGATAACTCCAGCGGACTTTCCATAAGGGGGCGTCGGCCACCTGAAGCACAAATATACGACGGAAACCTTAAAATTACTGTAAAATTAAATTTTACTGTATTATTATAATTAGAGTTAGATTTAATTACTTTAACGATTATTTCAATTTAATTTTTTTTGGTTAAAGTTTCTTTTGCTACAGTGCGTTTCACTTATCAATTTCAAATATAGTTGGTCAAATATATTTCGGATAATTTAGTTATGGGCTTCGCTGTGACCCGACCCATCTGGGCTGGCGAGCACACCCCCGAAGAAATTCGGAGATGTCACACGGATCTTACCTCTGCGTGGTGTGGAAGATTAGTAGGGAGGTAACTCCTGAAGCTAAAAGATCCAAGCAGGAGGAGACTCCTGAAGCCAAAAGATCCAAGCAGGAGGAGACTCCTGAAGCCAAAAGATCCAAGCAGGAGGAGACTCCTGAAGCCAAAAGATCCAAGCAGGAGGAGACTCCTGAAGCAAAAAGATCCAAGCAGGAGGAGACTCCTGAAGCAAAAAGATCCAAGCAGGAGGAGACTCCTGAAGCTAAAAGATCCAAGCAGGAGGAGACTCCTGAAGCAAAAAGATCCAAGCAGGAGGAGACTCCTGAAGCAAAAAGATCCAAGCAGGAGGAGACTCCTGAAGCAAAAAGATCCAAGCAGGAGGAGACTCCTGAAGCTAAAAGATCCAAGCAGGAGGAGACTCCTGAAGCAAAAAGATCCAAGCAGGAGGAGACTCCTGAAGCAAAAAGATCCAAGCAGGAGGAGACTCCTGAAGCAAAAAGATCCAAGCAGGAGGAGACTCCTGAAGCTAAAAGATCCAAGCAGGAGGAGACTCCTGAAGCAAAAAGATCCAAGCAGGAGGAGACTCCTGAAGCAAAAAGATCCAAGCAGGAGGAGACTCCTGAAGCAAAAAGATCCAAGCAGGAGGAGACTCCTGAAGCTAAAAGATCCAAGCAGGAGGAGACTCCTGAAGCAAAAAGATCCAAGCAGGAGGAGACTCCTGAAGCAAAAAGATCCAAGCAGGAGGAGACTCCTGAAGCAAAAAGATCCAAGCAGGAGGAGACTCCTGAAGCTAAAAGATCCAAGCAGGAGGAGACTCCTGAAGCTAAAAGATCCAAGCAGGAGGAGACTCCTGAAGCAAAAAGATCCAAGCAGGAGGAGACTCCTGAAGCAAAAAGATCCAAGCAGGAGGAGACTCCTGAAGCAAAAAGATCCAAGCAGGAGGAGACTCCTGAAGCTAAAAGATCCAAGCAGGAGGAGACTCCTGAAGCTAAAAGATCCAAGCAGGAGGAGACTCCTGAAGCAAAAAGATCCAAGCAAAACGCATGACTTCCCACGCAACGGAAGTTGCGCGCTAACATGATGACGTGTCGCCGATAATGGATATGAGGTTTGTTTGTTTTTGTTTTTTTTTAAAAACCCTTGCTGAGGATTAAAAACATGCGGCCTTGAGAGAGCCGCTCCTGGGTGACCGTTTCGTGTCGACACAGTCCCGCCCGAACTACTCCATGAACGGTGGAGAGAGGTAACGCAACACCTTCCCCGGAGAGGACGCAAAGCCGTTCTGACCCACGTCCACACAACTCCCAGGAACGGTGGGAGAAAGTTAGGCTCGAGATTACTCCCGGAGAGGAAGTAAGGCCGTGCCACAGCAAGGAACGTACGGCTCCCCGGACGGTGGGGTGAGGCAACGCAACACCATCCCCGGAGAGGAAGTAAAGCCGCTCCAAACTCAACGTCCAGACCGAACAATTCAATGGGCACCGGGAGTAGTGACGCAAAGCTGTCCCCTGGTGAGTGGAAGCAAACTGCCCAGAACACTTTTTTACTCGAGACCGTGTTGCATGGCCGGAGTCCCCAGGGACTACTAGGTCATGTTTCATGGCCGAGGTCCTAAGAGATAGACTCTCGACCTCCTTAGAGTATTAAACTTTATTAGTTATGGTAGAGGGCTTGGACCGCATCCAAAACCGAGCTCTCAGGTTTCTATGCTTGGCAATACCCACAACACCCACGGCAACGGTAGAAGTCATGGCGGACGTCAAACCACTATAAATCAGGCGGGAAAAGGCAGTCCTAACGACGGTTGAACGTTACCGACAAATTGACAGGCACGAACCCGGTTACCAGCTACAGGCTCAATGGGTCAAGAAAACCAGATTAAAGAGACCGTCCTTCATGGACAAGGTCCACAGTCTTGAGGAAGACCTGGTATTAACTAAGAGCAGGGAAAATGTGAAGGTGATCCCGGCACGGGGCCCTCACGAAAGCCTCACCCGACCTGAAATACGCCTTGCCATGACATCCACCAAAGTCACGAAAGCCAGCCCTCAACCAGAACAATCAGAGGCAATACGGAGAACGATTAATGCTAACCCGGACAGTCAGGTTAAAGTCTTTACAGACGGCTCGTGCTTCGCAAGGGAAGAACGCAGAGGCTATGGTGCCCTTATCCAGTATCCCAATGGGGAAAACATAACGAGCCTATATGCGGAGATCGAGGCCATACTGGTTGCTCTCAAGAGGGTCCACCAACACCTAGCTAAAATGAAAGAATTCCCAGACGTAGTGGTCTTCACCGACTCACGCTCTGCTCTTGAGCAATTTGGGAGGGGCTCTACGGAGACCACGATGGTAAATGCCATTCTGGAGACAGTTGGTAGCATCCAGGCAAAAGGCGGTAAAGTATTCTTGCAGTTAATCGCTTCGCACGTTGAGGTGACGCAACACGACAGGGCGGCCTTCTTGGCCAAAGAAGGCGTGGCCCAAACGCAACCCGATAAGCCAATGAGTCAGCTGGCAGTCACCGCATGGCAAAAAGACCACTTTCGGAACAAGTGTCTCGACAGTTGGGCCGCAGGAGATATCGGACGACAGCTATACCGAAAAATGCCGCGACCGAGCAAGAGCGACCCCTGTGGAACCTTAAGAGAGGAGAACAGAGCCTCATCACTTATATGAGAACAGGACATTGTGCGATGCGCAGTTACCTGCACAGGCTCGACGATCGAAGGGAGCCAAACTGCCGATTTTGCGGCCAGGCAGAAGAGACAGTGGCTCATTTGAAGGAGCATCACAAACTAGCTAGACTGCGTTTGATGGAGCGTCACAAACTCTAGCTAGACTGCGTTTGATTGAGCGTCACAAACTCTAGCCACACTATGCTGGATGGAGGGATCACAAACTAGCTAGACTTTGATTGATGGAGCGTCACAAACCCTAGCTAGACTGCGTTTGATGGAGCGTCACAAACTCTAGCTAGACTGCGTTTGATGGAGCGTCACAAACTCTAGCCACCCTATGCTGGATGGAGGAATCACAAACTCTAGCTAGACTGCGTTTGATGGAGCGTCACAAACTCTAGCCACACTATGCTGGATGGAGGAATCACAAACTCTAGCTAGACTGTGATTGATGGAGCGTCACAAACTCTAGCTAGACTGCGTTTGATGGAGCGTCACAAACTCTAACTAGACTGCATTTGATGGAGCGTCACAAACTCTAGCCACACTATGCTGGATGGGGGAATCACAAACTCTAGCTAGACTGCATTTGAAAAGGAGGGGGGGGGGCATCACAAACACTAGATATACTGTGATTAATGTGGCTATAACAAATCCTAGCTAAACAGTGCGTGATGGGGGCATTACAAACTCTACCTAGACTGTGAGTGATGGGGGCATCATAAGCTCGAGCTACGCTGTGATTAATGGGGGCCTCACAAACTCTAGCTAAACTATGCTGGATGGGGGAATCACAAAATCTAGCTAGACTTTGATTAATAGGGGGCATCACAAACTCTAACTACACTGTGCGTGATGGGGGCCTCACAAACTCTAACTAGACTGTGCGTGATGGGGGCCTCACAAACTCTAGCTAAACTATGCTGGATGGGGGAATCACAAAATCTAGCTAGACTTTGATTAATAGGGGGCATCACAAACTCTAGCTACACTGTGCGTGATGGGGGCATTTCAAACTCTAGCTTAGACTGTGTTTGAAGGGGGGCATCACAAACTCTAGCTATACCGTGCGTGATGGGGGCATCACAAACTCTAACTACACTGTGCTATAAATGTTTTTTTTTTAAAAGATTAATTTTCCACTTATTGAATGTTAATCCTGTTCGGTCCGCAACCTTACATGTGATTTGAGTTTTAGCCTGCCAAGAGATTGAGTTTGATACCCCTGGTCTATTGTGTTTGAGAGCATTGGGCGGTAGGCCGATAGGGAGGTTAGAGCTCTATCTTGATCTAGTCCAGTGGTTCCTTCATTTTGCTCCTCGGTGGCCTCACCAGAAAGTATTATTAAGTCCTAAACGCCTTTAACTTGTAAGATAGAGGGCTCTCAATAGAAATTGATTATTTAAAAAAGACATTTCTGAGTAAAAAAAGGTTGGGAACCACTGATTTAGTCTATCAAGGTAGTTCCGTTGGCCAATATTCATGTCCATGTACTGGGGAATGAGTTTGTCCAAGACAAAGTAATTCTCTTTTTCAATTTTCGCATTTAATGAAAAATTTCCCCTGCGTTTAAGCTATCCGTCCATTAGCCAAACCACACTTCTACTTCTATTTCTATAGAGGGAGTTTTCTAGACGGCAACTTCCCGCATAACTTAAATTAAAATTAAAGTGTACCGGTACCTAAAAATAAATTAGAGTTTTCATGTTCAGCTCAATATGATGATTACAGTACGGCAGTACGGTGACAGTTTCCGAAAAAAATAAGTAAATCAAAATGGCGTTTGGTGTGTATTGCATCTTCGCCACTTTCGATTTCAATAATTTATCGTTGTTTTAATTAAAACGGTGGTTAGATGACGATTCGGAAGAGAAAAAGGCAAAGGAATTATCCTAGAAATGCCTAAAGGCGGGAAAAAGGGGAAAAGACGACAGGACTTAGTTAACAGTTCAGGTTAGGCTAAATTACTAAAAGTTGTAGGCTTTTACTTTTATATTTTATTTAACGACGAAGTCAGAAGTGGCTATTCCGATTCGGACCCGGGTCACTTTAGGCTAAATGAATGCTATTCGGATGTCATTTGTGGTAGTTTATTTTAGTTAAACTGAAGAAGTAAGTTTACAAACATATAATAGTCAATTCAATTATTTTTCATTTGATTCTAAATTTCGTCGTACAAACTCAACAATAATATTTTAAATATTTTTTAAATAATAAACCCAACCTCTCAATCTTTTCCAGGCCTGAATCCATTATTATTTTTAATTACTATCACTACCTACTATGTAAAATATAAATAATAATATAACATAATAATTAAAGTTAGTAGCAAGTAGACTTAAATTTAAAAATTTTAATTCGGCTAAACTCAGCCTTATACACTTTCTCTTATAATATAATATTATAACTTACAGTTACAGATTAGGGACAATAGGCATAGGACCACCAAGCATGACAATATAAAATATGCCTAAATCTAATTATGTCTAAGTCTAATAATAATATTACTTAGTGCCTAACACTACTAACTGTACCAAAAGAGCAGCTGCAAAGTAAATTTTCAGGAAGTGAGCCTTACTAATGACTGATGAGTAACACTTGGGGTAGTGTAAATAGTCAATTATATAGGCCTAATAAATTAGATTAGAATTGAATAAATTATTTGTATTTGATAGCTAGGCTGTTTACATTTATTATTATACTGCCTAAGCATAGGCATAGACCTAGCCTGCCTAGGGTAGCAGTTCTGAACATTTTTTTTTAGTGCTGTGACTGTGGGCTAGAGATGAGAATAGAACCGAAATAAACCCTGTTGACGTTCGAACCTGAACTTCCAAATAGTTTATGTGAATTTAGAAGCAGCCAAAGTAATTCTAAGTATTTTATTTTATAGTTTTGGGCTGTCCATAAAGTAAGTCCCCCCCCCCAACTAACCCTGGTCACAAATTTTGGACCCCCCACCCACTTAGTACTGTCACACTTACAATACTAATACAAACTAAACAAGTTATTAAAAAATCAACAGATAATTAAAATTTAATCCAAAGCACTATTCGTTTGAAACTATCATGTTTATGAAAAGTGGCATCTTCTATCAGAATAGCTACATCACAACAGAAAGTTAAACATTACNCCCCCAGTCTGTAAGACTTTCTTAGACCCCGTCTGGAGCATGCCATACTTTATGGATATCCCCTTTACTTGTAGTTGAGTTGTAGTATATTAGTATAGTATTAAGTTTAGTCACAGGGTCAGAGTCTACAGCTTATTATGTTTAGTAATTGCTAAATAATGTGTCTTATTTCAGACATTAGTCTACTTGACTTTGCAAATGCTCGAATACCCCAGTCATGTGGTCGCTTAAAGAAATCTGTTGTCAATCCATCTGGAGCTGGAGGTAAATGTTTAAGATTCTTATATTTTACAAAGTTGAACAACAACAATACTGTTTTTTTTGTTTTTATGTAAAACAGATAAACATATTTCACCTTGGTGATTCTTATACACTATAACAAATGTCAAATTAATATAATTTTTCTTCTTCTTTTTGCAGCAATGCCTAAATCTGTCAGTGCCCAAAAGTTGGTAGATAAAGAGGATGAGGAAGTTTTAAGCTGGCTTGACCGAGATCTTGAGGATTTTGTTATAGAAGATATACCTGAAGAGGATGAAGAAGATACAGCACTCCCTGCAGGTGAACATATATTTACATATGTTTTTTGAAAACTATAATTCTTTTTAAGCTTTTAAAAATAAGAAACTTGATAACATTATAATGCAAATTGCAATCATTTAAAAAAAGGTAATCCTAGTGATTCCAGCAGAATGGCAAAGGCTGTTAACTTTTTAACTGTTTTAAAAATTTGCATTTTTATTTTCATTTTTTCTTTAAAGGGGAGATAATGGCATTTTGTATAGAAACCTTTTACTGGATTATCAACTAACTAAAAAGTGTAAACATTGTTACCCAGTACAAAAATTGTATCTCTTCAAATCTTAAACAAAATAATATTTCATCAGCTGCACATACACCAATAAAGGATATAAATAAGAAAAAGAAAGAGAAAGGCCTTGGAGGGGGAATAATATATCCAGCAGACTTGTGGTTCTTGATAGGCAACTATGTACACCCAGAAGATGTCGGCAGGTTTGCAGGTATATGCCGGGGATCTTATACGGTTACCAACACAGCTGCTTTCTGGAGGAAAATCTACAAAAGGTGAATAAAACCAAATAAAAAATTTTTTTTTGTCTGTTAGTAATTTGTTGAAATGTAGATAAGATAAGATTCTTTTATTGATCCAAATAAATGGAAATGCTTTTTGATTGCATTATACATTTTCAGCACATAAATAAAACAATTTGAAGACTAGACATTTATAATAAATTATCTCAAACAGCCATTCAGTGAGTTCTCTTAGCCAAATCGGGGGACTTATTAGTTCTCATGAAGATAAGTGACTTCAGAGGGAGCACGCCAGGAAATTCGTACAGATTGGGGAACAAAATAATTTTTATATCTTTCAGGCCTCGCCCTGATGGAAAGAATTCGTCCCGAATGGCCGGATCCTAAGTATTTGTGCTCATATTAGAAAGGGGATAAGAAACTCTTAACCATATCAAGGGATAGTTTTGGCTAATTTTAACATTATCTTCATTTAGAATGATTAATTTATTTTCTTTAAAGGAATCTTTAGTTAGTAAACTTAGGTAAATAAAATCAGTTTGAAAGTGACTTAGTCACAGCTAATAATACACATAGGAGCATAATACTAGCATTTGTTGCCCTGAGATATGTGAATTTTACAAAAGCAAGGAAGAACTTAAATACTGCTAGTTTGTTTTGGTAAAGGCTTTTACAAGAAAATATTTTGATTATAATGTGTGGTGTGTTTGGCAAAGACACCTGCTTTTTCTCGTATTTATTCATAAAATTGTAAAGATTAAAGATGATATGCAATTTAAATTCAATGTGGCTTGAGATCTGAGAAATTCTGACTCCAACATCTGACATCACAAATGTTTATATTTTCTTTTGATTTTCTATTTTAATTCAATAAAAGACCCAGCACTTGGTCTCTTTGGCCAAGCAACACAACTTCCTGAGACTGGTTGATTTGTTTTATTAATGAGTCTTTGAATACAGTAACGCCTTTGGTCTATTCCAGATATTATTACAAGGGTAAGGAAGGACTGCCCGAACACGTCAAACCTCATAGCATGGAAAAACTACATGGGCTACGGGCACGTGTTATACGTTCTATGTTTTTCCTGTATCAACCACTTGTGTCCAGGGTACAGAGCAGAGGTCCAATGGAAGATGAACCTCATGTTCTCAAAGGTAACCTGCACAAAAAATAGAAAGTAATTAATTTCAAATATAGGGACAGGAAATTTTATCAAAATCACCTCATAATACATAAATAAGACAGCCCCGAAATTCGTGTTTTCAATTAAAAAATGCAGCAAGTTAATTTTAAGATTCTTCTTAAAAAATCGATTATGACTGGTCCTTTTTTTTCTTCCTTTGCTTACTTTTCAGGGCACAGGTGTCTCTTGGCATGGCATCAACCAGCAACCAAAGGTTGGCTCTTTTGCTTTAAGTTCCAGAAACCATCTTTTCAGTCTTTGACTAGCAGACCTTCTAATAAACTGGACGTCTATCACGGTAAGCAGCCTGTGGCAGCAAAGTGGGAATAACGTCATATTTTTCTTGTATTATAATTAAAATAGGCAGGCTGCACGTTCTAATTGGTCGTTTATCTTCTTATGACAGTACACATGTCCTGGTTCAGTAAATTATAATTTGGTCATTCTGCAGGTTACAATGACTTGTTCTACAACCCTGAAGGGGGATGTTCTGTGCTTCAAGTGACTTGTTGTCACTTTGCATCTGTTGCTTCTGTCATGGGATTACTACTGAACCAGGTAAGAATTTTGATCTGTTTAAAGTTAAAAATTTAATTTTATGTATATCCTCCACCTGCAACTTGTCTGTAAATATATTGATATTTGTGTGTTCTTTACATGTGTCTCTGCTGAAACTTTGTTTGATTTTTTTTTTTTTCATATTTGAGGGCCCATGATCAATTAATGGATCATTTTGGCTCCTGGTTTGAATTCAGAGTTAGCCTTCTCTTAGATGAGTTGCCTTCTCTTATATGAGTTGCCTTCCAAGGCTAACGAGTCCCATCCACCAGGGGTGCTTGGGCTTTTGGGTTTGGCTGGGATTGAACTCCAGACCAGCACTATTTGGAGTGAGTCAGTTTAGACCACTCGGCCACCCATTCTTATCCTTCTTTATAAAACATTGTATCTTTTAATCTTAAAGAATTGAGCAGCTGAATGATGGCAGTTTAAATAACTCAAAACAACTCAGACTTTCTCTCCTATTGCGAAAGGATAACATGAGGTATATTAAAATTTACATTTATTGTATTCCATTCTTGTTTTGTTACATTAATCCATATATATTTACAGATTTATGTTACACTAAGTGCAGGATTCCGTCATCATCGACTGCGGCTTCACTTTGATTCCCGAATCATCTCCTCAAACCAGTCATCTTCAGAGATGGTAGTAGTGCTTGATGATGTCATCTCTATTAAACTTTTACAGTGGTGGTACCCTGGCTACCCCTTTACATCCTGACAAATGAGAGAATATGCTACACATTGATAATTAACTTAATTCTATTCAGTCACTTTTTTAGTAAAAATTGTTTACTCTCTCTCTCCGTTATAATAGCTGGTGTCTCTACAAAACTTAACCACATGGTAACATATCCTAACCACACTTTTACATTTGGACTTAGTGCAGATTGTGTTTTGGATACGTTTTGAAGACAATTTATTTTAAATTGGACATCTATCATAAAAATAGAATGAAAGGAATTTTAGATACATCCTTATTATGCTGAATACCGTTATTTCATTAAATAAACGTTTAAGATTAGCCTCGTCAAATGTTATTAGCTTGTCATAATAAGTTGTCGTTTTAGCATTTTAGTATCCTATTTTTTATTCATGGCTTAGGGTTTATATTGTGTGTAGTATTTGGTCAAATTAGTGAAAGATTTTACATTGAACTGGTTGGGATTATTGCTGTTATATATTTATTTTCAATGCAATATTTATAGAAACATTAAACATTTTATTACTGCCTCAAAGCTAACAGGTTGTATTAAATAAAAAGTTTATGTTTAGCAAGAAATAAATACATCGTATATTAAGAATATGAGCCATTTGATGCTGATATTCTGTTAATACTAATGTCGACATATTTCATCATGCATACAGCATTTAAAGTACATTACATTATTTATATAAGAGCATGTGATAAATGTTTGCATATCTCCGATCTCATAAATTAAAGCTAGAGAAAAAAATCTCATCAGAAGATGTGTTTGTGATGGGTTGGGTTTTAAAATATTACATTGTATAAAGTACAATAATGCATGCATTGTTTTGATCATTTTGAGATGTGTTGTTTTGGCTAAATTAAGTGCTTATGCAATACACATTTTTAACAAGCATTAACTAATAAACTGTTGGTAAATTCTTTCATTTTATCAATACATTTTAAGATTTATGAGGACTTTAGTTTATACTTCTGTCTTGCAATTGTTGGGCGCCAAGATCAAACCTCCTCAATAGGTGCAAAAATTAGTTTAAAAAAAAAAAAGAAACCATGAAATATATTTTGCCTCTCAAACAAAAGATTAAATTGACACGAGTTTTAACTTTCATTGACTTTTCTATAGGTCTTCTTATTCTTTGATTTAAAACCACATCCCACTCATGGCATGGGAATATACCCCCCCCCCCCCAAACCAATCTCCATGATCCTGCTTATAATAAATAATTAGTTCTGATTCATCATGTAGAGAGTCAGTCACTAGTTGTTGTTACTAACTGCCTTGCCATTTTAAAACATTTATCTATTATATTACTTGGCTTTCTTACCACAGGCAGTTATGACCAAATGTGCTGACCAATTTTGAAAAGGTCTCCTTATACAAAAGTGCAACTCAGGACCACTTAATCAAGACATTCCATCTATTAGCAAGAACTGCACAATATATATACACATCCTATCTTTTCTTTCTGATTACACTGGCCTATTCAAAGACACTTAATACATTAAAAAGCAAAATTATTTAAATAATGATAATTAATGCAGCTATTAAGGTTACATTGTAATTGTGTATTTTAATTTCTACTAATTAATTTTAATTGTTTAGGTAGTTATGTCAATGTCATTAAACTTATTGCTTTGTTTTGTATATGGTAGATTATTTTTAAATTGTTGTTTCCAAACTCATATTATTTTAGCTTAATTTAAAATGAATTAATCAAATAATTTTTCATTGACTCTGTTAAGCCCTTGATAATATTAAGTACCAATCATTTCATAAATTGTCAACTAAACTAAGAAAGTTTTTGTTAAGCAATAGTAAGCTAGCCAACATACTGTAACTTTTTACTTCTATGAACTCATTGTGTGACTTATTCAACCAATGGTCCAATTAAGGCCTATACTATAGTCACAACTACATATAAACATTGCAATTGTCTCTGAGACATAAATCTGAGCTCTATTTTTGCTTTTACAGGAGTTAATTTTTGTTTCTTCTTCCTCAATGTTCCCTCAAATGGTTGAATAACAAAATGCTTGTAAAAAATATTTATGTTAGTTTAAAATTCTACATGGTTACTAGGTTTTGAAGAGTAGCCAAGTTCAGCAACCAGCTTTTTTTATGTGCTCTGCTGAAACCAACATTGTGATAAAACTTCAATAAAATTATGAAATTATTTTTGTTGCTTTCAGTTTGTTAATTTCCTTACCAGAGCTCAGAGCTATTCGAAGCCTCAGAACTATAAGATAATATTTCTTTAAAAAGAATAATAAATGACAGCAATGCCATTTCATTAGCAAGACCACACCTCACAACAAATGTCAGATTACCAATAAAGTGGTAGATATAATATTCTACTTAAGGCTTTGGATTTAATTCTTAAACACATATCAGTGAGTATGACAAAGAAGTGCACTTATGTTTTAAGATAAATAATGTTCAAGTTAAAAAGTTTCTGCTAACAACACATTTGTTTCTAAACAGCATCATAGAAACTGAAAGAGATGTGTACTAGTTCAAAATAATAATTTATTGTAACATTTTGTACACTTAAATTATAAATGAAAATGAAGCACAATTTAAATAACACTCACGATGGGTGATGCTCTAAATATAACTTCAGAGGACCACTGGTCTTCACCATAACTACAACGGACAGAGGCGTTGCACAGTAGAAGAAGAGTTTATTGTTGTGTTATAAAACAATAGGCTTACTGCAGGTTTGATGATACCTAATATACAGTTTTATAAACTGGACAGAAAGCTGCACCCTTTTCAATGTAGACATTACATAGTCTGAAATCCTAGTGCCAACTGACTTCAATACCTCAAATATTAAAATTCAGCTCTCACCAAAAAAATACTTAACATCAGAGTACAAGAAGCTCATTATATAATAAAATTAAACAGCTTATGTTCCTGAAATATTCAAAAGTTTAAAAATTTTGTTGACCATTAACATAAAGGATTTTCTTTTAGACTAATAAATATAGAAGTACACAATGTATCATAATATCTAGAGGGTGGGTGAGGTTTAAGGGTTAGATTTGAAGAGTAAATCCATCAACTAAAAGATATTTGTATTATATTGTTTTAAAAATGCAAAACCCCCCCCCCCCCAATGAGATTTATTTTCTAAAATCTTAAAATAATTTGAGATTAATTTATAAAATCATTTATTACTGTCTAATTGTAGATACGAATCAAACATAACAGTGACTCAAATGTTACATTGGTATAACAACAGCAGTACATGATTAACAAGGATACTCAAAATAGATCTGTTAACCCCTTAGAATAAACTCATTGATAATAAGGGGGAGAGACTGTATCAGGTTTAGGTAACGTGTGCAACAAGTTTGAACAAGGTATGGGAAAAGCTGAAAAAAGGACACAACAAAACAATGTTGCATCCTTTTTTTCCAGCTTTTCCCATACCTTGTTGCACACATTTCCTTTGAGACTAAATTCCCAAATGAGCATTAAAAACAAAAACTTTGCAAATAAAGGATGAGGGAAATATCAGCACACTGGCTGTAGCAAAGAACCATTGGTCCTTTGCCAGATGTTTAGGACTTGAATTGTCTTTGTGACCAGAGCCATATTTGCATTGTAATAAACACTTAACATTAACAAATGAGTCTGTTTTTCCCTTCTGCACTCCAAGCCAAACATACCCGTATAGAGTTTTTTTTTTTTTTTTTTTAAATCTTAGGTTTGACAACATCTTATCAGGCAAAAATCCTCATACTGTTTATCAAGACAGTAAATAATAAACACTTAACATTAACAAATGAGTCTGTTTTTCCCTTCTGCACTCCAAGCCAAACATACCCGTATAGAGTTTTTTTTTTTTTTTTTTAAATCTTAGGTTTGACAACATCTTATCAGGCAAAAATCCTCATACTGTTTATCAAGACAGTAAGCTGAATGAGAATGTGTATGAGAGTGGTTTAGGATATTGAAACTCGTATACTTACAAACCATAAGATAAACATGTGGTAATAGGTGTGCTCTAGGACACAGGATTCATTTGTCATATTATTAATGATTTCTGCTGACCGTTTCCTTCATTCTCTCTTTCATTTTAAGGCTTCACCCAAATGTACTTTGTAAGGTATCACACAGACTGTATTTCACTTTCTAACACTTAAACTTTAGTTTTATCGCAGTCCATCAATTTTATGACTTCTATGCTGAAATCCTGTTCCTTAAGAGTGTATATCTGTGGCTACTAAATATTAGGAAAATACCAAGGTTCTTACACTTGTTAGCAAATCTTCTGTGAAACTCATTGTGAACACAAATCATTTAATAGACCATCAAATCCATTCAGTTCAGGACTTATTTTTTCTGTCTAATAATCAATAATCCTAATTAATATGAATAGGAAAAATGGCTGGCATCAAATGCAGAAACACTGCCCAAGGTGAGCTTTCTAAACTGTATCAGGTTTTGTTGAAACAAGAGCAGTTCCAGAATTGCACAACTTGGATTGTTAACTGTTTCCTCTCTGCACATAATATACCATGTAGCCGGGTCAGTGTGTCTAAGGAACAAATCTCTTTAGGCTTGTCATCCTTGAGTTCATTATAATTCTAAAGCTTTGATTAGAGCTTCTCTGTCCTTCAGTGCTTTAGAAATGGCCTCCTTTTCTTTCTTTGTTGGTGATTTCTTTCTCTGCCTGGCCAGCTGTATTTTCCTAAAGGCTTCCATCACCTGATGAAATTTTTAAAAAAAATTAATTAAACCTGACTCATCACAAATTCAGCTGTGACATTAAAATGCATAGGGGCACACATTATTTTGAAGACGTGCCAGTATCTAATAAAACCAAATATAAACATTTAGCAATGAGCTGTTGGTCCATTATTATCTTAACATTTTTGTAAGCATAACACAAAAGAACAAACTAAAACTAAAATTTTGTAAGCACATAATGATAGAAAAGAACAAAATAAAACTAAAAGTTTGTTATCACATAATGACAGGAAAGAACAAACTAAAAGTTTGTTATCACATAATGACAGAAAAGAACAAACTAAAAGTTTGTTAGCACACAATGACAGAAAAGAACAAACTAAAGCTTAAAGAACCTCCGAGTCAGCTGCCTGCAGTTTCTTCTTCAGTTCCTGTCGAGCCATGTCCTCCTGGCCCTGCCTGTACAAGCTCTTCAGTATATTCACATTCTGCTGGCTGATGGCCCTGAGCTCTTGCTGTTTCTTTCTCAGCTCAGCCAGCACCTCATCATTGGGGTCGTCTTCTTCTTCTTCCTCTTTTTCTAGGATACCTGAAATCATCAAAGAAATTTCAACCACTGCTCATAACTATTGAAATAAAGAATCTTGAAATAAAGATGTGCATATAGCAGTAGAAACAAAGTGAGTTTTTTTGCACAAGATTTTATTTACTAAGAATTAAGCAGACACTGAAATAGACAGACCATTGTACTGGTTAGTAGAGAGCCATTTCTATTGTTTTTCTTATTAAAAATCAACATTTTTCTAATGCTAGCTTATTTATCTTTCTGACATTCACACAATACCAACTAGCAAATAGACGGATAACAAAAAAAATCAAGTTGAATTCAATTTTTTTTAAAAATTGTCTCCTAAATAAGAACAATTTTGAAACTAAAAATAAAACAAAACTATTTTGTAACTTGCCTTGCTCTTCCAGCTCTTTTCGTATTCTCCTTTCTAGAGTAGCTGGGTTGCCTATGTTTAGTTGCTTTGCTAACATACGTGGGGAGATAGCAGGAGCCTCATCACCACATTCTGAAAAATGAAGGAAATGAACAATTTAAAATTTAAAAAAAGAAACAGGAGAAATTGATGAAATAAATATTTTAGGTCTATTTGCAATAGGACACTGTGATTTTGCCAAATAATAAATGAACCGGCCTCCCTTACCAGCAGTATCAGCCATTGCATCATCCATTGTTGTCATCAAGTTGTCTTCTATCAGAGCAGATACGAGTCTTTGTGTTAGGGGCCCAAATGGAGAATCATCCATACTGAAAGGAAAAAAAAAACATTGGCTGAAAAATAAAAATCTCATCTTATTCACAAGAATATTTGTTGAGAAAGTAATTCAGATCATCTAAGATATATCACTTTAAATTTACAATTCAACTCACAAATAATCATTTTTCTTATATTCAGCCTTCTTCAAGAGGGTTGATGCTTCTGAATTGGTGGTGCCATTGTTGGCATATGAAGTTTTCTTCTTTTCTGCTATCTTGGACCCTTTCGTGAGAAGAAAAAGAATTGAGAGCTGTAAGAAGTGTTTAAATGACATTAAATACTAACTATTGGTTAAGCATTGGTTAAGCAAACGTTTGCCAATATTAGCAGAAAATTTCATTGGTTCTTTGAATTTGTCAATATTAACTGAAATTTTATCAGTACTTTGAATAGTCAATATTTGCTGAAAATTTGATTGGTTCTTCGAAATTGAATTAGAGAATGAAGGTTGTGTGAGGTTAACCTCTTGTGAATTTCAGTGCTTCATCTCATGGGAGCAGTTCTTTGGCCACCAAATTACAAATGATTCCTTCTCAGTTTTTCATTGTGCTAGTCATCAAACTGTTAGGTTTTGAGCATTTTGATATCTACATCAGAATTTTCCCCGGTGGCATTTTTTTGAAAAGCTCTCTTTGAGTCTCTGTAATGTTCCTGGTTCTTTGCAGAAGAATCAGGACAAGTGCATGGATAAGTACAATTTTTATTTGAGGGGGAAAATGTCTGAAATCTGAGAAAACTTTTTCCATTTTTACTCAGCATTTTGAGAATTTTTTTGACAATTAATTTAGTTATAACTGAAATAAACCAATAAATAAGCTTTTAATGCAGTCTCTAAATTCTCCCTTACCATTGCAGTCTCTACATTCTGCCTTACCAATGCAGTCTCTACATTGTGCCTTACCATTGCATTCTCTACATTGTGCCTTACCATCGTTTTGTTCCTCCATCAAATCTTCCTCTGCCCACCTCTGTGTATAGTGAATTCCTAAAGGTGGAATCTTCATATATTCTGTCTCCTCCTCATGAACTTTCAGCATTTCCTCAATAACACGTAGATCTTCTGAGGTGATTGGGGCACAGTAGGGCTCCACTGAAGCCCAGAAACGGTTGACAGCATCATTCTTTGGTACTTTAGGTGTCTCAGAAGCTGATGGAGTATCAGAGCCAGTTGGGTCCTCGGATTGCCCCTTGGACTATGAAAAATGTGGAAATTGTGTTTCTAATTTTTAAAAAAGTATATTTAAGAATTAAACGCAGAAAAAATTTAAGGCATTTTACCCGCATTTCTACTAAATGCTAATATGAGGATGTATTTTTAGTTTTACATGTAACATTTCATATGGGGTAATAAGGGGAGAGACTGCAATCAGGTTAGTACAAAATAAAATGAGTAAAACAGAGTATGGTTAAACCTGAAAAAATAAACGCAACAAAACAGCCACACTTCTATTGCTGCCCACAGATGCTACTTACCAGCTAAGTGCTATTTCTTATTTTTATAACGTTTTTTCTGTTGTTTTGTTCGCTGACGAAGGCTTTCTGCCGACACGTTCGCTGTTTTGTTGATTTATTTTTTCAGGTTTAACCATACTCTGTTTTACTCATTTTATTTTAACATTTCATATCAATTGTGTACCAATAAGGAGGTGCAGAAAAGCTACTAACACAGAATAGATTATCATGTATTGATTTTTTAAATTTAAATCTCGTTTATGATATTAGTGTCTTAATCTTAAATTAATTTATATAATTAGTTATTTTATATAGAAATACTCATTTCATTTATCCTATGGGTGCACAATGAAAAGAATTCATAAGATGTTTATTGTAAAAAAAACCCCAACCTAGTAAAAATATAGAAATAAACAACTTAATCCTTTAACTAATCTGTTTTTGAATTAAGCCACTGTACAAGCAAAACAAAATCTGGATCAATTTCTGATGAGTGTCATTATTATATTAATATAATATAGGGCTTAAAATTATTCAGATATTGTACTTGTGAGTTTTTTCCTTTGCTTCTCTGTCCAGAATTCGGAGTAGATGGCTGTGATGGTCGACCACTCGAGTCTTTAAACTTTTTACTAGATTGTCTTTCTTTGTCTTTTTCATCAGTGGGAGTTCCCTTGCGTTTGGTAGGTGTGGAAGATCTGCTTGGCGTATCAGACTGTTAATAAAGAGAACTGATCAATTTTTTTTCTTAAAGGAACAAGGGGTGAAAGAAATGCTTAACAAAAATAAAAAGTCAAATTTGTTATAAAAACTGACAATAAAGTGGAAATATCAAATATTATTTAACACAAAAAAATATAAAAGGGGCATGAAATGCTGACTGGTATAATAGCCAACTAAATGGAAAAATTCTAATATATTAAACTATGAATTCATACCCCCTTCCCTAATGACTTCTTGCTATCTTTTTTCTCAGGCCAGCTGGCTAATATGTGGTTCTCTGATCCCAGCTGTTTTAATCTCTTTCCAACTGAAGCTAATAACATTTCAATATCTCCCTGCAGCTGGTCCAGCTCCTCCAAACTGATATGGCCACCTTCATCTCTTGCAACAACTGAAATATAATTTGGATGTTTACATTACAAGTGAATCTCCCTAGATATGAATAAAAATAATATATAAACTGAACTAGAAACTTTTAGCAAATGCTGTGGGACAATTCTTGTTCTTACCTTGGGCATATTTAGTGCAATCTTTAGTGATGTCTACAGTACACAAATCTGGAAACTGAAGTGGGCAGTCTTTAATATCTCTGTCCTTATCTTTTTCCTGTGGGGCTTTACCTTTGCCCTTCATGTTAATAGCCTAGATAAATCTGGAAACCAAATTTATGTTTAAAGATATTAGAAAAGTAATGACTGTAATTTTAATGTGATGTAAAATACAAATGTCAATACAAATGATCAAATTTCAGATTTCAGTAAGAAACATAAAATAAGAATCAATAATGTAATTATAGAGTTTTCTTTTTCTTTATTCTTTTATTGATCCAAACTAATGGGAAAGTTTGTTGATTACTTTGTACATATACAAATTCAGCACATTAATAAATACATACTTTAATAAAGTCACAATTTCACAACAAAAACAATTTAAAAACAAGACATCTACATTAAATTGTTTCACTAGTGTAAAAAACAGCCAGTCAGTGAACTCCCTTAGTCATACTAGGGACTTAATTAGTGATCATTTAGATTTTGTGACCTCTGGGGGGAGAACGCTGGTAAATTCATACAGATTGGGGAACAAACCAGATGTTAATAATAAATAGGTAAGTAAAATTTTATGAAATAATAGTTGGCCTAATTTAATGGGCCTAGTGGGTGCTACTAACTTACTTAAGTCATCTACACTGACGACCATTGATACACATGTATGGGTATATCACGTTTAATTTTAAAATAAAAATTTCAATAAAAATCAGAAGTGTGACCTATCCACCAATCATCACAGGGATCTGAATTCCTCTGAGGCATATCACTAGACCAGGCATGTACCATGAGCTTAAGCTAGAGCAAGTGAGAAAACTAATTTTCCCCGACATTTTGATTTCATACAATTGGCTCTTCCAACCGTACCACATAGCACATTGAATTAAAGTACTTGATCTGCACTGCTAACATTTAGCATATATTATCTGATTCATGACCACAATTTTGATGTGATTTTAAAAATGAAGGGATTACTGGTGTCCGAGTTTTGATATAAAAAGTGCAGCCTTTAACTCAAAATACCATGCCATCACAATTTCCTTTACAATTATTCAATGGTGAATTCCATTGTAACTGACATAACTTTCAGAAACATAAGTTAATATGCATCCAGTGTAAATTAAAAAAATGCCATTAGGTAGGCTTAATTTAACTATATATGGTTTTGGGTCCTAAGTAGTTAGACTGTAAAACAATTGCATTTATAAATATATAATAAGCATAATTGTAAAAATAATAAATTTTGGAATTAGATGTTACATGAAAAAGACATAATATTTGATTTAGCATCTTTTTTGTTGATTTCTTCTGAAATCTGCTTTAATTGAAACATATTTTTTCTAAATAATTATCCACAGTGTTTACCGTTAGCTACATTTCTAAGGAAAACCTTTAAAAACTCCCAAGAGAGCAAATTAAAAAAAATACCTACAAAAAAAGGTAACTGATGTAGCATGACTTTTTAACTGTCATAAGGTTAAATGCAAGCAATAAAAAATAGAACAAAAAGGTCAATTCCTTTACAGAATTACAAATACTTGACTAAAGCAGTTGTAATAGTTGTAATGTACTTAAATAAGCATGAAGAACAGAGTTTTAAATGCATGTCCATCACGTGACTTTGACCATGAATATTGTCTGTCTATTATATACTATATTTATGGGATGTAAGCAAAATAATATGAAACAAAATGTCTATTAAACTGAGCTGATATCTTCTTAATTCAAGATGGCCATCAGGTCTTGTGTCACACAAAAAAAAAAAAAATTATACTGTACAGTACTAAAAATATCTCCATATGAAAATAAATGAAATAAATTTAAATATATAGCACCAAATTTTATTAATTTTATGCAATTTAATTTTTGGATGTTGTGCCCACTTTTACATGGAATTTTCCCACCGTGGAACAGTCATTTATACAAAAAGTTGGAGAAATGCTTTCTCCATTGCTCTTGCTTCTGCTTGAGCAGAGGACAATCAGTTTTTTTCATGTTTATTAGATCACATAGATTATGATTATTGCTTTTCAGTTTTCATGTTGTTATGGAAAAATTTTGTTTAACAAATACTAGTTATAATTACATTTAAAAGAGTCATGTTAAAGCCCTTGTGGGTGCCACTAATCTGCAAGTCGACCGCAAATACCCACTTCCACCAGCCCAAACTAAGGGTACAAACTTCATCATCTGTGACCTATCTGTGAGTACGCACTTTGATGAAAATTTCAAAACATTTTTTTAAAATATAAAAATGCTATAAAAATGCTACAGCTGTTTAGAGCCTAAAGAATGGATTACAAAAACACCAAGATCAACTTTCTAGCTCAAATGGTTCAAAATTTATGAATTTTTAGTAAGGATCTCAAAACAACTTTTTCACTATTAGGTTTTCCTCCACATTTTGTGACCCTCATTTTGCTTTTGTTCTTACGTGAAAACTTTCTTATAAAATGAGACAGAAATATAATATTTACAGGGAAAATAGTTAAATATGAGTTCTTCTAAATAAAGCCATAAAATATAAATTAGTTCTTGTCAATATTCCGCAAAATTTAAAAAAAAAAACTTTATTATTTTCCTATTTAAATGTATAAAATATGCTGACTTGTCACTCATTAATGACAAGTTAATTAAACCAAATTTAAATTCTTCCGGTGGTCATGTGACTTGGTCGCCGGTCAAATAGTGCGGGAGATATATGTCCAGCGCGCCCAGACGTGTAGACACTCAGGTGACACTGCCTTAAATATTAGCCTAAGTGTAAGCTGCTAAGTGTAGCCCTTGGCTAGGCTAAGCCTAAGTTAAGTTATGAGAGTAGGCCTAATCCTTTAAATTTAAAAATATGGTAAACTTTGACTACACCTTGGTTAACACGTCACGTGAAGTCATCTATCCCTGCCTATGCTTAAGCTGAACCCTAAATCGACCCCTATGCCTAACCTGTAACCCTAAATGGATCCCTATGCCTAACCTGAACTCTTAATCGATCCCTAAAATAATTTAGTAAAAATAAACAAAGGGAAGTCACTCCCTGGAAAATAAGTCGTGGCAATGGTAACTAGGATTAGCCAAGAATATAAAATGATTGTTCATTGAGAATCATTGTTAGATCTGCGAGTGGTTATTAGTGTAGTAGTACTAGTAGTAGCCTCATTTTTATTTTTTTAAAATTCATTCCTCTGGCTTTATTATTAGTAGTATTGCATCCTAGCAACAGTATAATTAATAATAATTAATTAGGATTTATTACCCCTTATAACTTATTGGCCTCATTATCGTCCATTTTCATTATGATTAGTAAGTAATCTCAAATCTGATTAGCAACTTTGGTCAAGTTAGTATTACTATATAGTACCGGTTCTATACGGACGTAGTACAGTATTGTCAATAGATTGTATATTAAATAGTTAAACATTGGCCAAGTATTGGCTTAATAATAATATAATTAACACGCAAGCATTTTAAAAAATGTAGCTTAGGCTATTTAGTTATAAGTTTATAAGTATAAGCTAGTATAAATTAATATTAATTACATTTACGGATTTACTGACAGTCCATTCATAATTAGGTCATACAAATTACCAAAATAATGTATAAAGTTGCGATAAAGGCAATAAAGGCATTTTAAAGGTTATTTTGGTGATTTTGGAACTAGTTTAATAACCCAGATTTGGCTATTTTATTTTCTCAATAGTTTATGGATGTCTTTATTTCTCAAGTCTTAAATAATTAATTTATTTTGCAATTTTAAATTAAGTTAAATTATTAAATATACCAATCTACAAATGATCTCGAATTTATCTCACTCCTCGGTTGAAATTTTGACTCTTGGTTTCCAGAAGTTATTTTTACTCGTAGCTATTTGTTATTGATACAAAATGGATGCCCGCGAGTCACGTCTCTGTACTTTCGCTTTCCACTCGAGATTGTTTATTATTTTATTTCAGGTAATCATTTATTATAGATTTATGAAAAAAAAATTAAGAAAAACTAATTGCAAAACAATAAATACATGCTACAGTAACCACTGAAGTGCTTTAATATAGTTTCAGCTGGTAAATAAGAAGTTTTTAATTTATTTCACGATTCACTCAAACTCTAATTTTTTTATGGCTGCGGGTATTCGGACCTGTGCCGTACGGTATCAGAGGTGAGAGGTTGAGTTTATTTAAAAAATATTTAAAATATTATTTTAGGGTTTGTACGACAAAATTTGGTATCAAATGAAAGATAATTTAATGGACTATATGTTTATTATAGTTTATAAATTCAATTCTCCAGTTTAACTAAAATAAAATATCATAAATGACATCCAATTTCAACATCAATTTGTGTAATATTAATGTATGAACAATTTTTATAATTTTATATTTTATAATTTTTAAGTGTACATAAATATATCAATGCCTTTATAAGCTAACGAGTGCTCAATTGTGTAACTAATACTCAGTAGGCCTAGCTCCCAACTGAAATAAACAAGCGAGTGTTGGGGTGTCTCGTGACCATGACCATGTTTTTAAAAGGAGATGGCAAAAGCTTCTGTAGTCATCTCTAAGCCTAATCATGTTATTATACCATTTCATTTAACTGAAGTAACAATATTTTTTTTTAATATGCACACTTTGTATGTAGTGAAACTATTATTATGGTAATTATAGACATATTTAGGCCTATATTTTCAATAAAGCTAACTGAAATGCCTTAACTTTAAGGTTTCATTATCGAGCTGAGGTGTACAAAGTGGTAATAAATAAATGGGGCAATACTTCGCCAGAGAGCAAATTTTTAAAGTTCCTGTTTTGGTTTTGTTTGATTGGCTGGACTACCAATAGCTCCCGAGAAGCTATTGGTAGTTTACTACAACAGATCTCCATTAACCATATAATCACAATACTCTTTTGTGGATTTTAGTTTAATTTTAAGGTAGATTTTTCCCATTTTGAAATAATAATTTCATGCATTTCTTTTTAAAAAGAATTTACATCTACTAACCAATATTAGAATCAGGTTTATGCGTGTTATAATCAATGAAAATACATTTAATACAAGTTTTGTTTGCATTCATTTTTGATTATGTTTCCTTCACGTGATTCACATAAATATTAATATAAGTTTTGAATTAAAATTCAGTGCATGTAATAACTTTAAAATCCAAAAAAATGTAAAATTCTTTTTAATATTAAATTAACAAATACGGTATAATATAATTGTTTTTTTTTTTTTACATTTTCCAATCTTCTTTTTACAAATTTATCAATTTTCCATCAACAATCACTTTTTAAATAATTTAAATAAAATGGTTTGATGTATTTAAAACTTTTGTTTGGTCAATTTTGAATGTCTCCTGAACATTTGGTTCAGTTAATACAGTTATCTTTAAAAATAAAAAGTTGCGGGGAAAGTGGTGTAGAAATTTGAAAAGGGATCACAAGTTTTTGTGTTAAAATAAATAGTTTATATAAAGAGCTTACAAAATGAAAAGTAAATTAAAATTATAATTCCTTTTCGATAACAGATAGAAATATGAAATTGGTGTTTAAAAAGCTTATATATTAAATGATTTATCTTTTATGTCAATCATATAATATTAAAAATCTGTCAAGATTTAAGTTGTTTGGAATGAAATTCATATCTAAAAATAATTAATATCTATGTAATCCAGACATCATAAAAATTTGAAAGGGTTTAGGCATATTTTCGACCTCCCTTGCCCTATTGTCTCAATTTAGCAAACAATTTAGACACCCTCATAATAGATTGTTTTTCTAAAAAAACAACACATTACAAGGTACACATTTTTGCTTCCAGGTTTATTATACTTTTTTTAAATATACTCTATTTAAGATATTAAAAAACATTATATATTTTGAATGTAAAACCTACTTAGTTATTGTGGTAACAATTATGTTTAAATGTCTTCTCTTCTATTCAAGTTTTAAAAATATTATTTCAGAATCTATTCCATTCTATACTTGCAGTGCTTTGCTAATAATGTTTTGCCTGATCATGATGCTGGAGTCTTCAACCCCCCCAAAGACTATGATGGCTTTACCTGGATTGACCACTCAATTCAATTTTTATTCAGCGGGCTTCAAAGATGGGATGCTGTCTACTTTACAAACATCATGCTTTACGGCTACACCTATGAAAATTGCGTTGCATTTTTTCCCTGTTATCCTTTGTCTGTTTCAACTTTGGCAAGAATAACATCAACAATAGGGATCTTGCATTTTAGCTCATGGGTGCTACTTATAGGGATGACATTAAACATAGTTTTATTCTTAATGACTTCTTTGGTGTTGTTCAGACTTGGTAAAGCAGTTCTAGGCGATGAGGACGTCGCATTTTATGGAAGCATTTTGTTTTGCATCAACCCAGCCAGTATCTTTATGTCAGCATTATATTCAGAAACTATGTTCAGTTTCTTTTTATTTTATGCTTTACTCATCTTAAATAGGAAAGCAACATTTATGGCATCGATTCTCATTGGTTTTAGTGTATTTACAAGGTCGAATGGCATTGTTGGTATTGGTTTTATCATTCATAAAATAGTAAAAATATTTGTAAAAACATTTTCTCAACAAAGGGATTCCACAAAAATGAACAGTTCAAATGTGTTTCACAGTCTACTTTTAGTACTAAAAACTGTATTTAAAATAGTTATTTATTTGTTAACTAGTTTAATTCCATTTGGTCTCTATCAATATTATATTTACCAAAAGTTTTGTTTACCATCATCAACAGCGTCTGACTTACCAAATCATATAGTTACTTACGGTAGGTCTCAAGGCTACAAAATTGTGGGTGACGAGCCATCTTCATGGTGTAATCAAAGCATAGCACTGTCCTACTCCTACATACAGCACCATCACTGGGGAGTTGGGTTCCTGGCTTACTATGAACTCAAGCAGCTCCCTAATTTTTTGTTGGCTTTCCCGGTCATTTTACTGAGCTTTCGATCATGTTGGTACTATTTCACGCAAAACAAAAATAGTTTTTTTAGACTAGGACTTAATGTGAAACAGAAATTGAAAGATGACATTATTAATTCAGGGCCAGAGATTTCCACTCATGATGTTAGAACTAAAAAGAGAACTGTTTCAAGAAATGACCCATTCAGAGAGGAGGCTGAAGACGACAGTCTTAAGACCAGGATCAAATGGAATGGTTGTACTGGCAGTGACAATCTTAGTGCACATTCTAAACTTGTTGTTTATGTTTTTCACCTGGCTGCTCTCACTGTGTTTGGATGCCTATTCATGCACATTCAGGTAATTCACGTCATTTAAGTATTTCTTTCTGTTAATTTTATATTGAAAAGGAAAAACATAATTTACTTTTGCTATGTATTCAGTTAATTCTTATCTTAGCATCTGTCCATCTATGACAGACTTGCAGGAGTTTCATCTCTGCTAACTAGGAAGCTTAGGTCACATGTTTTATTTAGAACCAACTTTTATAATGCAGCAGATTATAAGTGTTTTAAATTTAAAACATTTCCACATGTTCCTCAGCATTCTTACTATAAATACACTTTTTACTAAGCTAGAAATGACAGAAATAGGATATTTTGTTTACAATGATTGAAAATGTTTCATTTATATAAACCCTGGTATTTCAAAATGAAATAGGTGTGAAGTACTCCAATTTTATGTAGTAACTTTTTAAAAGTAAATAAGATAAACAAACATTAAAATGATAAATGAAGGCAGATTTAACTGTACTTTGCTAATACACCACAGGTCACAGTGATAATTGATCAGAAATCAAACATCTACTAAGCAAAGGGAAACCATAGCTAAATTACAATTATTTCCCCTTGCTGACACATCTTTATTCTTGGTACTATTTAGCCTTTGGAATTAAGACTTTGTTTACATGGCTGGGCTGGGAATGTGTGGAGAAAATAACTTTTATTTCTTTCCAAAGGTCTTAACTCGGCTCTTGTTCTCATCAAGCCCGTTGCTTTACTGGTATGTTGCAACTGTATTCATTCAAGGATACAAACCTCCCACAACTCAAGCTGGAAATAGACCCAAACAAGATCTCTTGATACCATTTTTCATACAGAAACTATTAACAACTATGAGGCTGAATTTCATCAACAAGGTGTTTTCAAACTGGCCTTACTTAAGTTTTGAGTTCCGTATGTGCTTTATTTATTTTTTAACCTACTGTGTCATAGGCACCTTGATGTTTGCTAATTTTCTGCCATGGACATAATATTTTGGCTTGCATCAGAGGTCCCAAATTTTGTGCATTGACACTGAAGACTGCCAAGAAGTGTGTTAAATACCGTAATTAGTTACTTAGTAATACACCAGTGTGCTGCAGTTAATTTATTGCAAAATTGTATTTTTGTCCCAGGACATCATTCTATCAGTCCACCCACCATTTACCGGACCCCAGGAGAAATCAGAAAGCCACCTATCAGATTTATAAACACGATAACACAGATATTTTAATCTTAATATTATTATTGTTATATTAAAATTTCATTAAAATTCTCCATCATTCTGGGGCTATTCGCTGTTGTTGTTGAGTGGCTGTTTGAATATGATGTGTTTTGCGACAGCTTATGGCTACACTAACTTATAGTTATAGTAAAAGAAATCTCAATTGAAAATATATTTTAATAATATTTCTGTAAGTCCAAAATTTTTTTTCTAAAAAGGTCCAACTTTTGTTTTCCTTGATTTTTTAAATTAGATTTTATTTTTTGGTTTCTCTCACTCAGTTTATTTTGGTAAGTCTAAATACCAACTAAGCATCTATGGGGTGCTACAATTAAATAAAACTTAACATTAGATGGCCGAAATATCTTTGGTCACAATTAGACAAGAAGCTTTCATTTATCAAAAGAAATGGAAATTTGTTTTCATTTCATTGCGCATGTTGTTCTCTGCCTTGAAAGTCTTTGAGTTTTTGTTGTTCCTTCTAACTGTGGTTACTAACAAGGCGTTATGCGAATCATGGTGTTGTCAGATCAACTGCGACACATGTAGGGGTCTTGAGTGTAATTTGAGTTTGGAGCAGACTCTGGGATTTTTTATGAAATTAGTTCTCAGTTTCTTTTTCAAGATCATGGATATTCTAAATGATAAATGTCTGTAGCAGACTTTCTGACATAAAATGAGGTGTTAATATCATTTTGCTTGTTTTTCGTGTGTTTGTTTTATGTTTTTGTTAGAGAAACTTTTATCGGTTTTAAGAATATGGTTTTAAATTGGTTTTTAGAATATGGCATTTGGTTTTAGTTTAAATTGGTAATCTGTTTTTAGAATATGGCATATGGTTTAAGTTTTAAATTGGTTATCGGTTTTTTAGAATATGGCATATGTTTTTAGGTTAAATTGGCAATAGTTTTTAGAATATGGCATATGTTTTTAGTTTAAATTGGTAATAGTTTTTAGAATATGGCATATGTTTTTAGTTTAAATTGGTAATAGTTTTTAGAATATGGCATATGGTTTTAGTTTAAATTGGAAATCTTTTTTTTAGAATATGGCATATGGTTTTAGCTATAAATTGGTAATCGGTTTTTAGAATATTTCATATGGTTTAAGTTTTAAATTGGTAATCTGTTTTTAGAATATGGCATTTGGTTTGAGTTTTAAATTGGTAATCTTATTTTAGAATGTGGATTGTTCCAAACAGTTACACATAAAAGGTCAGATCGACATATTTTATAAGAGGAAAGCATCAGTTGAAATCTAGTTTTGGAGCAGTCGAATCAACTCTCATGTTGATACAGTTTGTACCATGTTGAATCAACTCTCATGTTGGAACCAGCACTTGACCTATTGTAGCATCAGTGTTGAATCAACTCTCATGTTGATAAAGTTGGGTACAGCACTTGGCCTATTGTATCATCAGTGTTGAATCAACTCTCATGTTGTTACAGTTGGGACCAGCACTTGGCCTACTGTATCATCAGTGTTGAATCAACTCTCCTGGTGATAAAGTTGGGACCAGCACTTGGCCTATTGTATCATCAGCGTTGAATCAACTCTCATGTTGATACAGTTCATACCATGTTGAATCAACTCTCATGTTGGGACCAGCACTTGACCTATTGTATCATCAGTGTCGAATCAACTCTCATGTTGGGACCAGCACTTGGCCTATTGTATCATCAGTGTTGAATCCGCACTTACGCAAACTTGTAACTTGATATCTAAATCTAAGCCTGTAGCTGCACAGCAGAATACCAACCAGCTTGGAAAGACAAGGCCACCGTGTATGTCATTCCAAACGGCAGTGATCTATATTTGGCGACGTTCTTGGCGGTATGCCCTACCGGTTTTAAATTATTTAAAAAAATTAGCATTATATTAATACTGAATTTTTAAAATTCCATCTGCATTATATTTTAAGTCTTTTACATAGTGATTCTGAATATTACTTTGGATTGTAATATAATATATATATCTTTGTTAAGACATTACATATCTGTGTTGAGTACGCATGTTACTTGTGAGTCCTGTTTGTGCCTGGAAAACTTGCCCGCATGTGTTTTTGGTGTAATTGTGGTTTAAAAAGTTTGGAAGCCATTGCCACTTCCCGGCGCTATGCCTCTCTTCTCATTTGTCGTCAGCGATGGGTTTATCCGGAGGATTGTGCTCCAACAGTATGTCTGCCTGTGCTCTAACAGTGTGTCTGCCAGTGCTCCAACAGTGTGTCTGCCTGTGCTCCAACAGTGTTTCTGCCTGTACTCCAACAGTGAGTCTGCCTGTGCTACAACAGTGAGTCTGCCAGTGCTACAACAGTGAGTCTGCCTGTGCTCCAACAGTGAGTCTGCCTGTGCTCCAACAGTGTGTCTGTCTGTGCTCCAACAGTGAGTCTGCCTGTGCTCCAACAGTGAGTCTGCCTATGCTCCAACAGTGAGTCTGCCTGTGCTCCAACAGTGAGTCTGCCTGTGCTCCAACAGTGTGTCTGTCTGTGCTCCAACAGTGAGTCTGCCTGTGCTCCAACAGTGAGTCTGCCTGTGCTCCAACAGTGAGTCTGCCTGTGCTCCAACAGTGAGTCTGCCTGTGCTCCAACAGTGAGTCTGCCTGTGCTCCAACAGTGAGTCTGCCTGTGCTCCAACAGTGAGTCTGCCTGTGCTCCAACAGTGAGTCTGCCTGTGCTCCAACAGTGAGTCTGCCTGTGCTCCAACAGTGAGTCTGCCTGTGCTCCAACAGTGAGTCTGTCTGTGCTCCAACAGAGAGTCTGCCTGTGCTCGAACAGTGAGTTTGTTGTGCTCCAACAGTGAGTCTGCCTGTGCTCCAACAGTGAGTCTGCCTGTGCTCCAACAGTGAGTCTGCCTGTGCTCCAACAGTGAGTCTGCCTGTGCTCCAACAGAGAGTCTGCCTGTGCTCGAACAGTGAGTCTGTCTGTGTTCCAACAATGATTCTGCCTCTCCAGCATGGGTGATCCAAAGCAAGTGTTTCCATGACGGCAGATCGGTGTCCAGGTGTCCACGGATTCGAGGGACACTTTAAGCCAATCTTTAAAATGTTTTTACTGCCCACCTTGTAAGCGTTTCCTTGTGGATGGGTCACCTTACATTAGCTGTTGAGGCCGTCTGCTGTCTGCCATTCTCGCGCCATGTCCAGCCCACTGGGCTTGCCTTTATTTGTAAGAACGTCAGGACGCTGTGAAAGGCACCCTGCTGTACCATTTCTGTTTGGAATAGGTCGAGATTGTTAAGTTGTCTAGTATGTTTGTAATACACTGTCCATGTCTCCCTGGCGTATGACAGAGTTGTTAGAACAATACACTGTCCATGTCTCGCTGGGGTATGACAGAGTTGTTAGAACAATACACTGTCCATGTCTCGCTGGCGTATGACAGAGTTGTTAGAACAATACACTGTCCATGTCTCGCTGGGATATGACAGAGTTGTTAGAACAATACACTGTCCATGTCTCGCTGGGGTATGATAGATTTGTTAGAACAATTGCCGCATATTATACACTTTTTTTTCCTGGCATCCAACTGTCACAATGTGACGATGGTGTAGACTTCGCGGGACGAAATCATAAGGCCTGGGATATTTCTTTAAGAGGGTAAGCTGGTTTCCTAGACAGCAATTTGCCTCTCTCCACGCACATGGCGTTAGTTGCAGTACATAATATAAAGTGACCAGGAATTGCGAAACCACCTTGCAATGGTAGCCAAATTATTATGTAAGTCACAGTGACTTAAACGTCACGGCTCACTGAGATTTATATGGGATTACACGAGGATTAGCAGGATAGATATTGTAAAAAGGAAATGAATATAAAAAAAGTATGGTCAAACCTAAAAAAAGGAACACAAAAAAAAAAAAATGTCGGCAGGAAGCCTTCGTCAGCGAACAAACAACAACACTAGCTGCCGGAAGTGCTATTTTTAAAAATTGCATTCTGTTTTTTTTTTTTAAGTAATTGCAAATGCTATCAACAAAGGTACGTCTTGCATAAGATAATAAACCAAAAGTACCGTAATAAAGGGTTAAGAAAAATGTAGGTACTGGTATGGTATAACTAGGCTGTTTAAGGCCGGGGGGGGGGAGGAAGCCTTCGTCAGCGAACAAACAACAACACTAGCTGCCGGAAGTGCTATTTTTAAAAATTGCATTCTGTTCTTTTTTTTTAAGTAATTGCAAATGCTATCAACAAAGGTACGTCTTGCATAAGATAATACACCAAAAGTACCGTAATAAAGTGTTAAGAAATATGTAGGTACTGGTATGGTATAACTAGGCTGTTTAAGGCCGGGGGGGGGGAGGCTTATATTAATCAGAGGTATTTTGGTACATTAACAGTCATGTTAATCAAACTTCCAATTGGGATGTCAGCGTGGTCACCGGCTGAAGCTTTAAAATAAGAAAACTTTGCTTTTTTACGAATATTATTTTGAAATTGGTGTCCAAAAGTGTAAAGTTTGAGTTAGAATTGAAATTATTACATTGCATTTTGTTGTTAATTACAATACTATTACTATGCTATAATGAAAGCTAGAGCTTCACCTATTTTCATTCACCCTAGTTCACCATATTACAAGCAATGTGTTCAATGTATCGCGGTCGTGTGTCACACTAATTCTAAATATATGTGGTCTGGACTTGGAAATGCTTGAGAACCTTTGTAACAGACACACCGAGCTCAATAAACCAGCGCATTGGGCCAGAATACGACAGATCGTTACAGTTCACGATGTGTTGAATAAACAATTTGGTACCGTATTTTGAACATCCGTATAATGGCATCGCGGGATAAAAGGATTTCGCGGAAATTTGTTAACTTAACAAAATATAGCGGTACCCCGCTTTAGAAATACGGTTATAAAAAAATGAAGGACCGCGTTCAAGCTGTGTGAAGGAAATAGTAGAACAATTAACAGTAGTAAATCAAAAGACAGGACAATAAGAGTAGAACAATTAACAGTAGTAAATCAAAAGACAGGACAATAAGAGTAGAACAATCAACAGTAGTAAATCAAAAGACAGGACAATAAGAGTAGAACAATCAACAGTAGTAAATCA